AAATGGTGCTAATTGCTTACCATACCATATCTATTTATTTTCTAATTAGAACATTTGTCATTTTTAAAACGTTTCCATTCTTTTAAATTATAGTATTAATATTAATTTGTAGTTTTTTATTTTATTCTTTTATTTAAATGTTATCATCTACTAACCGTACCATATTTATTTTCTAATCTATTTTAGAAAACTTACCATTTTTACGCGTTTGTGCTTGTAAATTATAATATTTTTTAATGATAAATAATTAATTTGTAGTTTGTTTGAAATAAATCATTTTAATCCTGTCCATACTTTATTAATTTGTAATTTTTAAATTTTATTTTAATATTTAAATGGCAGTGTATTTTATTTCCATACTTCAATTCCCCCATGGTTCACTACTATTTAATTTAATTTAATTTAAATGCTTAAATGGTGTAACATTTAAATAAAAATAAAAATGAAAACATACTTAAAATGGAAGGAAAACATTAAGGTAAAATAATTAAACTACCATTTATGTTGTCAACACTTTCCATATATGAGTGTCATTCATGGACGGGAAAAAATTCATGTCTTTTTAAATAATGTATAGATGTTTGTAAATTTTGGCTAAAAAGTCAACTTTTTCGGATAATCCAATGATTCGATCCGAAAATTCGGATATCCAAATATTTTCGGATCGGATATGGAATGAGTTTTACATGATCCAAAATTTTCAGATATCTGAATTTTCAGATCGGATCGGATCGATCCGATTGAACACCCCTACCAGAAGCGGTGTAATTTACGATTTCCGTTCATCGACATTGCCAAGAGTGAATAGCCTTAATAGTCTGTGCACCAACAATCGTGACACCAAGCATGTAATATTGTAGTAACTTATTATTTACTCCATGAAACGCCCAAAATGCATACATAAAAGTAACTCCACAAAGATTAATCGATGAGTAGGGGAGGACACGGTACGGTTCCGGTTCCGGAACCGCCGGTTCCGGTACCGCCACCCCATGTCATCGGAACCGTCACCGTGCCGGCCGGTACCGGTTCCGGTTCCCGAACCGGCGGTTCCGGTACCGGACCGGCCGGTTTCGCCCCCCCCTCCCCCCTATTTTTTTTTTGCTTTTTTTAAAATTTTTAAGTATAAAATTTTAAATTTGCAATTGTTTAAGGAAAGAATGAAGTACCGGAATGTAGTTGTTATCTAAAAATGTAGTTGTTATTTAAATATTTTAAATGAATAATACACTAACTGAAGAACAACCACATTTAATATCCTGACGGTTCAAAAAAAGCGACAAGGTAAAGAAACGTAAAGAAATCCTCGAAGGAGCTTATATATCGCTCACCTAAAAAAACTAATTACATATTTACATTAACAAAAAAAATTATAACTTATTCTTCAGAACTCGGACTTTCATCTGTTGTTGCATTCATGTAATGCTCCGATTCGAGTTGGTACGTAGACTCTTGAGCTCGACGTCTTGCCAAGAGCCAATCTTGGTTGCAAACAAGTGTTTCAAGAGATTCAGCGCTAAGACAACTTCGAAAGTCGGTTAGAATGTTGCCGCCAGCACTGAATTCTCGTTCAACTGCTACGGTTGATACCGGAACGGATAACACTTGTCTTGCTAGCATGCCGAGACATGGGAACATGTGTTCGTTCCGCTTCCACCATCCGAGCACGTCAAAATCCACATCGTCTTCATCGTAATCGCATGGCACACCCTGGTACATAGCAAGTTCGTTGTGCGAGCTTACTGTTGTACCACTTGAACTCGTCGAAGACTGGGCACGCTTCCCTTTCTTTGCAAGAAGCCACCGACTATTCTGGCAAAACCTTTTTTTGATTTCGAGGGCGGAGGTGGTGCTGTTTCTTCTTGTACAGTGCCGTATAACCCTTGATATTCCTCAAACAAATTCTCAAAAAAAGTTACAGCATTAT